CAGGCAGCATGAATCAAACCCCTAAAATTTCACCTTAATTCCTCTACAACACGGATGTTTAGAATCAAATATAAAGGAACTTGAATTAACATGAAATTTGTGGTTACAGAGAGCACAGGACTACAAATATACAATATTTTGGCATTTCTACTTATTCATGTCAATATGTTTAAATTATGCACACACATAGATTTACACGCTTACTGTGAATTATTTAATGAATTGATGATATAAAACTACATGCACACAATGTTCATCATCACGCTTACAAGTCTTATTCCCTAATCCAGTCTTTGTGTGCTTTGGCTAGACCAGGGAGAGGATGTGGAATTAGCCATAGAGATCTGAACTCGTAAAACCTCGTGAATGGCACCACGATAAAGAACGGCAAGAACTTCCTCTTCTTTGGCTGTTGCCAGATCTGCCAGACAAACCCACCGAGAATGGGATTCATCTCTCATGCGAAAGCCATAAAACCATCTGCCGAGCTTCCACCATCTAACACACACTTGACGCTCAGAAATCTCACAACTTTGTAGCGCTTCCAGGACATAAGTAGCCTGCCCATTTTGTCAAGCATTACTTAGCACAGGTAGGTGAATGGCAAAGTTGTAGAATTGTTCAAGGTCCTGCTTGGCTTGGTATATTAGATTACCATAAAAAAAACAGGGGAAGAAAGTCCCCTACGACAGTCTTTGCAAGAGTTAAGAAAGATGAAGGAAATAACTGGACTATAAGACAACTAAATTCTTCACAGGCCTCAGAGTTATAGCTACTATACTCTTCAAACAGAATTGCTACAACAAACGAAACAATTGATCTTGATGGTGGCTAGATATGGTTCAGTTTAACTGTACCCAATCCCTGCCTTTTTCTCCGTCTCTTATCCATAGTGGTTTCACTTCATGACTCTAAAAAGTAAGCATTCATGTTTGCTTGCTTTTGATGGCCCATAAATTTATATCTGCTCCTTCCCTCATGATAAAACCAAAATGGCTATAACACAGTTTTACCTAAGATCTTGCTATAATACCTTTCTTGCATTGTTGACATTAAAAAACCAAAATAGATACCAAACTTCCAAAATGTAAGGGAGCAGCATGGCACTTGGAGAAGCAAACTTACCGGCACTTGAAGCCAGTTGATGCAGTAATGTAATCTAACCAAGTTGTGAAAGACATTCAGCCTCGGTTTGAAGAGGAACATCTGCACATCTTTGAATCCAAGCTGCATCAAGCTCATGTCTTCAATTGCTTTCAAATAGTCACCAACCTCAAGTGAATCAGCCGGTGACCTTTCTTCCACAAATTTAATAACAGACATAGCCCTACGTGACATCTCAGTATGCTGTTTATGTAAAAGCTCCTCCATCCCTACCATTATCATGAAAGTTTTCAAACTAATACAGAACAACAAAAACATAAAATTGTCAAATTCCTATCACTTATTCACTCAGTTATTTCTTCAAAATGAAGCTTTT